AAAAAAAAAAAAGAAAAAAAAAAGGATTGTGGTGGTTTTGTTTCTGACTTTCATCTCAGAGTCTTTGTTTTTCACAAGTTTTTGATTTCCCAACATGTTCCTTCATTACCATCAAATGGTAGGGGGTGGTTCTCTCAACTCTTGAGAATGTCTTAGGATTTTGGTTACTTCTTGCAACTCATTTCTAGGTTTCTTTGGTGCTGTTAGATTCAGGGACCTGCGGTTTTTTCGATGCCAGAACGACGCTGGTCGGAGCTGGGGGGTTGCCCTGTAACCTGTCGATAGCAGGAGCGTGAGGCCTGGTAGAGAGATCTGGGGATGCCTTGGGCCGGGCATTCCAAAGGAAAACCAAGGGTTGCTGTCGGGACAATGCTGGCCGGAGCTGGGGTGAGTGGTGTTGCCCTGTAACCTAGCAGGGTGGGGGCATGAGGCCTGGGAGAGCCCGGCAGGGAATTAGAGAGTGCTAGAGAATTTTAGAGTGTTTTGTTGGGGTTTCCAGGGATTCTGAGCATTCGAAGGACTTTCGGGCTTTCTCGTTTTTCTTAGTAACAGGTCAGTAGTATTCACGTTTTCCTAAATCTTCCTGAAATTTTCCTGAATTTTTCACAAGTTCCTAGATGTTTCTTAGCCTACATTTCAAATCAACTGTATAAATTCTATATGGGACGCTGGGCCCGGTTCCCAGCACGTGTTGCTCCCCTTGAATAGATTGGAGCTTTTGTCCCCCCCCCAAAAAAAAGGAAAAAAAAAGGGTAGGATCAGTTGTTTGTTTCTCTTTTCTTTTCTTTTCTTTCTTTCTTTTTTTTTTTTTTTTTTTTTTTTTTTAATACCAAAACAGGTAGGATCAGTTCCAATGGGCACTGTGACTATGTTTATGGATAAGAACCAACTTATCAAGGCGGCATTTGTCAAGCTGTGCTACTGTTCAGACAACACCTGTGAAGCCTTAGAGTCTGATCCCACACTGCCTGACCCAGCTTGCAAGCTGGCTGCAGTGCACGTGAAGCTAGCTGACAGTGTATGGACTGGTCGAGGTGAAAGGCACGTTAAAATCACGTATAAAATAAAATAAATCCTGTATAATAATAACAGCCAGGAAACGCTGTATCGACGACCTCACTTCCAAACGGGGGCTCGATCCCGTGCACGTCTCGAAGGTACTCTCCTTGCCTATCAGAGTGTCCACACCCACCATCAAGCAAGAGGAGAGAGAGGGAGAGCTTGCCTTTATGTGCATGGGTGTATAGGGGTATATATGTGTGTGTGTGTGAGTGTGTGTGTGTGTGTGTGTGTGAGAGAGAGAGAGAGAGAGAAAGAGAGAGAGGGAGACTGCACGAAGACATTAAGATGGGGTTTGCAATGTTTGCTCATGGGATTGAATAGGTAGGATAAGATTGGATTAAGTGGCTCAGGGCGTGCGCACACTACCGGTAGCAGTATCGTAAATGTGTCTGACCGCATTCACGGCCCCGCCTGGATGTATCTGATCGCAATTACGACCAGAAACAGGTGACAAAAATCCTAGTACGAGTATGCCCTCGTCAGGACAGCACAGTGCAACACAGACCTCATCTCAGTCTGTGAGGGTTCGAACTCATATCATATTCTTACCAACAGTTACGTGTCTAAACTCGGCCTGGCAAGTGGTCTTTCGGGACATCGGTTCATTCAAAAAAATATAATAATAATAAAAAATCTAATTAACATCCGTTCAAATTGGTTTTGAAAAAAAAAAAAAAAAAGGTTTTGGACCTTGGGAACGTACTCGTTCGGGTTGTTCTCGAAAAAAAGAAAAGAGAGAGAGAGAGAGGTACCGACTGACCTCACTCGGTACACCACTGAATTCAGTCTGTTGACATACAGACCTGGAGCATGGTCCCACTTAGTCTAGCAGGGGATTGGATTAAAATCATCATCCTGAATCTGGGCGAGTTTTAGGCAGAGATGCAGAAAAGGAGTTCAATCTCGATTTTCTGCACTTGTCCACAAACGCAGCCAGATTCAGGCGTTCAATCCAATCCTCCTTGCTAGTGGGACCTCGCCCCTGAGTTCGAACTCTTTGGAAGCAGGGGCGAGGTCCCACTTGCAAAGAGGATTGGATTAACCGTCTGAATATGGACGTGTTTTAGGAAGAGATGCAGAACAGCAGATCTATCCTCAGATTCTGCACTTTAGATTCAGATCTTAGTGGGACCTCGCCCCAGATGAGTAAAATACGACCAATGCATTCGGAATTACTTAGTGAAAAAAAAAGCCAAAAAAAGAAGAAGAAGAAAAAAAAAAACAATTACTTAGGGCCGGTCAGTTCCATGATGATGTCTCAAGATCGTCTCCCTTTCATAGAACAGTAAATAAATAATACAGAAATAAGTAAATAATACATAAATAAATAAATAATACTGTAACAGAGAAAGAGACATTTTAAAGAGGTTTGATGACAAACACACAAAAAAGGAAAAAAAAAAAAAAAAAAAAAGTTTGACTGGCACTACTGACCCCTCTGAGCATTCAAGGATATGACAC